AATGGTAATATTATGACAATTTAAAGGGGCTCGGTGCAGAAATTAAAAATTCTTTGAATTCTAAAACATTTGAAAATTATATTTTACACTTAAATTGCTACCTTAATTACCTATGTTATACATTTCCATTGATCTACTGACCAATGCCTATTTAGGAGGAGAAGGGGGGGGGAGAATATAGATAGGCGTGTATATTGTATAGTATATTATAAAAAATGACTTCACCAGAAATATTTCTCAGGCCTTATAGAATTGTTAGATTTTGATAACGATTTTTTTTTCTAAAAGAAGACTTCCTACCAGCTGCATCGAACTCCCGTATTTTGTTTGATTTCGAATAATAATACAATGCAATGTAAAAAAGCTTAAAATCGTATTATTTTTGAAGACATAATACTACAATTTGGAATTAAAATATTGAAAAACTGAGTTCAATCTGGACTTTAGAATACTACTCTCTACTAGTTTGAAAAAATGTCATAATTCCCATCAGCGCCTTAAACTAGAATATTAATATCAATGTTCAATTGTAAATGTTATTCAAAATTAGCATATTTTGTTAGAATGCAAATCGAAATAATTGTTGCGACATATTGTAGGAATTAAAAATGTCAGTTGGAATAAAAAATAAAAATAAATTTTTTCTTGGTTACCTAAATATTGTTTTGTCAAATTATAATTGCTATTCTATTGAATGTTAGCATTATTTAACACTCTACAATCATCCATTCAAGTTTGATTTCAACTATTTAAAATTTCAATCAAAGTTAAATATTCACTTATGTCATGACGTGTTGTACTGATACACACATAATATTTAATTAAGTAATGCAGTCATAATAAGAAGAGAATGGAGAGAATAAGATTGACTAGCTTGACTAGATAATTTTTTTCAAGTTTAATATTATGAGTCTAAAGTGTATCTATATAATTGGTGTACAAAGCACAACTTAAGTCATATACAAAATTAAGATAAGATATATTTCTCCAAATCACATAATTTGTTCTCAAATTAAATTTAGGTATTATAAAACAGGGTGAATAGGAATGGTTTTTTTAAAAATTGTATGTGCAATTTTCATAGAATCCATATTCTGAAAACTGTTTAAGAAAACCCACACACACACACATGATTATATTTAGAAACAATTATAAAATGTAAGTTCAATACCTAATTGTTTTTATATATTTCTTCAAACACGTGTTCCTATCAACCCAGCAATGGGGTGAATAAGAACACAGCTATAAAACTATTGATTTTCCTTTTATAACATAAGAATGGTTAATTGAAACTTAATTTATATTTTTTTTCTAAATGTGTGAACATTATATATCATGTTGGTTGTTATAATAAAATAAAAAACCAAAATATAATTTGTTCCTATTTACCCAAAAATTGGTCCAAATGATACTATAAAAGTAGCTATCAATTTTCTGAAAACAATTAGGTAGTACCAACAGGAAAAAATATTTTCACTTGTAATGAAGTTTCGTATATCTTTATTAATATATTGTTAAGATCAAGTTTTTCTGATACACAAAAATGATGAAATTTGTTACATGTATGAAAAGGTGTAATTATTCGAGCTAAAATAAATTTTATCATTAATGTGGTCCAAACAACATTAGTGACAAACTAAAATAGTTATTATCACAAGAAGTTAATATTCAATTGATTATCGTAATGGATAAAATTTTTTTATAAATTTGTTCCTATTCACCCCGTTTTGAGGTTCATAATTTTTTTTTTAATTATCAATTAATAAAATTTTAAATATGACCACCCAAAACATAAGGTTAGTTTTTAAATTATTTTGTTGAAANTGAGGTTCATAATTTTTTTTTTAATTATCAATTAATAAAATTTTAAATATGACCACCCAAAACATAAGGTTAGTTTTTAAATTATTTTGTTGAAAAATCTTATTTGTATGAATTACAGCTTCAGAATAAGTACTATTTAATATTTTTTTCAGTGGAATTGTCATGAATCAAATATATAATTTTAGATTCTGATTGGAACGATGAATGTATTGATTTTAAAATTATATATGAGTGTTTTTTTTTTATTTGTGTCTGTCTAGTGTCTACACTCTACACGATAAGTCATCAAAAATAGTTCTTCGATTTTCAACTTCAGTAGCTTTTCCGGTTGGAAAGTGAATCTAGTTGGTTTACTGGGGAGGTAAAATCTCCCAGTAAATTCTAAATAGTCTTCAAAAGCATTGGAAAAAAAAAATTARGGAAAAATAGGAATTTTTAAATAAAATAAATTTTTGAGAAAATCGATTTTAGATATTGGTGTAACTAAAACAAATTTCCGTAGACACATGAAATTTTCACTGAATGTTTATACTGGCATTTTATAGACA